CTCTCTCAAACGGTTTGATCTGCTTCTTATCACGTATTAACCTCATATACTTTCAAAGCAAAGCCGATTGTTTGTTTATATAAAACATTTGCTTTTCCCCAACAATCTGTGATCCTAATCAGTACAGTAATCTACAGGTGTTGTGGTTGTGTAATACCTGTAAAGCGTTACGGATTACAGTATTAGCTCAAGTCAATACTTCCACGTCATACCCGAAAAGATTGCATTCCAGAATCACACGCGCCATTGAAAACAATCACACACTTTCTCACGTGCCATAGATATTTGATTGCGCGGACGTCGGAGGAAACAACCTTGTGAATGCATGTTTAGTTTAGTTTAGTTCCATTAGATATAAATTCATAATATTATTTAGTTCACTTTGCAGTGGCGTTTATTTGTAATGCATATTCATTATTTGAAAGATTTCCAATTGCTTCGTATCCTAACGTGTTCAACCTCAAAGATTAAGCATGTGTGCTGGTTTGAAAAGGTTCAGCTGTCAAGATGAGATACAGACCGAAAGAAACAACATTCTGCGTGAGAGCAAAAATTAAACATGGCACGTCCTCGAATTACATGACGTTGGAGTCTGTGACATTTCAGGAATTTTACGATATGGAATAAATACCGTAAATTACACGCAGATAAAGTTAAAATTCCAAGGGAGCCTTTCTGCCACGTGCGGTATAAATTATCATGTATATTTCGCTGACATTACTATCTGACATTGTGCAATAGATTACCCTTATGTCACTTTGACATGAGGCTGTCAAGTGTCGCGAACAAAGAAGGGTGAAGTTTTGTCTGAACTTGGTCCATCCCTAACAGAATAGCAAATAGAGTCATATCACTACCTGTGTCAAGTTTTTGAAGTACAAAAGTATACATGATGCAATCCTATATCCGGATATGAATTAAGCCACAATCGCAGAAAAACAGCGCGTTAAAAACGTCGCCATGATGTTGTTAATAAGGTATATCTCATGTTACGGTTAATAATTTGCCGTGACAAAAGGTTTAAGAGTCCTCTTTGAACCATGAAAATAGAACACAGACAAGTCTAAAATATTCAATAATATATTGAACAATAATGAGCAAGCTACAATGAATGACAATACAGATTTCTAGTAGAATGCAATTTAGTCACAAATCTATAATATTGGGTCACAAATATAAAGTATTAACTCACCAGAGTCTTGACATTTACAGTGAGAACAGATATACTGATTGAAGGTTGTTTACAATGACAGCAAGCAAGCACGGTCAGTCTTGAAATGTTGAGAAACTCGACGATGGCAGACAGATGTGTATAAATCCAGTCATGTGAAAAGTCCCATCGCACAACTCAACAACCAGCCTTTATATAGCTCATATCCAGGTCTCGAGCATTCTAGCAAAGATAGGCTCCATCATTATTCTCTCAGAACATTAGCGTTTTTCTCGAACACACTACCGGAAGTCAAAACAAATACAAGGTAGTCAAGGGAGGCAACTCTGAAGCGCTAGCAAAAATGCGTGCCGCTACAAATACTATTGCCATTGAACATGTATGATGCGAGATGCGATCCAAACCCACACTCAAAACTTTAAACATTGTGACCCATAATAACTATCACTTGATCAATGTGATATTACAAATTTGCATAAAAGCACACTCCCATAACACTAACACTGTCTATACAGTAGGCTACGGCTGTAACCAACTCAAAGGAGCCTCTTATTTCAGTTCGTGAATATATTTCGACTAAAATATTCCGTTGGTTGGTTATTTCACTAACGCCGCACTCAGCAATATTAAAAAAAAGCATTAACAAAAAGATCGTTAGATCGTTACAAGCATGTTCGTTATAAACGTAGTTACTCTCAATATCCTTATATCTGTCATGCGTTGAACTATTATGCCATTTATTCAGTAATTAAATATGTTTAAAGTACGTACTATTTCACAATAGTCATATTCATTTTTTAATAAAATGCAAAACCTAATTAGTCTTTTTATTATAGTAATTAAATTTCTTTAACTTAATCAAGGCATGAATACTTCATGCATGAGCGAAGTTACTGAAAACGATGTACACGTGTCCCTAACTGCTTATAATTTAAAATGCATAATGAAAACATCCCCTCTCCGTTTCTTACTGATATTTCGTATATTTTTTTAATATATCAATTAAATGCGAATATCGAATGTCTTTATTGTTATTTTTACATTAGTCGTGTATGTTTCATGCATGAGTGAAGTTACTGAAAATTATATGTACACGTGTCAGTAATGTTTATGCTTATGAGAGAAAAATGAAAATAATGACCAAACGTTCCCTCCCCGTGTTAACATATTTGTACTTAGTATTGCTCATAAGACAGATTCTGACATTTTAATGCAGAAATAGTGATGTTCACATATTCATACAAATAAGGAACCGTGGGGTAGCCCAGTGGTTAAAGCGTTCGCTCGTCACGACGTAGACTCGGGATCAATTCCCACATGGATAAGACAATTTCTGGTGTCCCCCGCCGTGAATATTGCTAAAAGCGGCGTAAAACCATACTCACTCACTCATACATATATCCTGGTAAAGGTGACAACAGCAAGAGCGACCAAAGCCGTGACCTCATTTTCTGTGTGGTGACTTTATGTAGCGTAAACTAATTACATATGTACACTGTACGTGATTAAAACTTGTTTCCACGCAAACCCGTTGACCGTTACAATCCGCTTCAACACCTAATTTGTGTAGGTCACACACCGACGTATCAAAGAAAGTCGTTATGGTCCACCACAACAAAGTCCACACCGTACCGTATCGTTTATTGTTTTGTCTGGGGCTCCCGCAGACATAACAACATGTCACATTGTCACGTATTATACCAAAACACGTCACCCAGGGGACACATAAGTTGTTCTATCCAAACAAAGGATTAAGTCTCGTTTCGTATAGACTGTGCGTGCATTCCTCACTTGGCCTCAGAGCTTTTTCCCAGGCATCGCAGCAAAGGAATTAGCTTTGCTCCAAGACCCATTTGACGAATAAGTCCACAGATATGTAATAATTCTTTCGTTATGTAGAAATAAGTCCTTAAGCGGACAGGTCTAATACTGACAGTGTTTTATATTGCAACTTGTCCTTTTTATTCATATAATCTAGAAATTGTGGTTTAAACTAATAATTATTGCCTTAAAAGCCTACGCAAGTCTGCAGTGGAATATGTTCTCGGCTTCATTACACGGTAACATGAGTTGTGTGCAGATAGTGGTTCTCTGGGAGATCAGGCGATATACCCGTGTTGTGTTTCCGCCAGGCATGTCTAAAGTCTTATCATCCAAAACTGTGTTCCACAGGAGATATCGCTTGTGTGAGATCAAACGATATCTCCTAGGAGATATCGTTTTCACAGTAGATATTGTACAATGCCCTGACAATGCTATGACGTCATGTACTTGATGACGTCACAATGCTATGACATCGCTGCACTGCAAGTGTAATGGCAGTACCATGTTCAGAGATGTACATTTTTCATTGAAAATTAATGAAGAGTGATTTTGGATGATAAATAGAATCTCACCCTCGTGTCTTCTGATATGAAATATATCAACACTCGTTGATAAAGTAAAAATATCCTCGGCAAGCCTCGGATATTTGTAACTTTATCAACTCGTGTTGATATAATTGATATCAGAAGACACTTGGGTGAGATTCTCTATTTCTAAAATATGTTCTTTTTATCGATGGATTATATTGATTTTTATAATATCAATTCCTGATCGAGTTTATATGATACAAATGAGATTATGAAACTCTACCAAAGTTGGATTGATTACAATAGTTGATTTCTATATTTCTATTGATTCTATAATAATGATGATAATTAGAATAAAGATACAAACTTAAATATCGATAAATCTGCATATAACATCATTACTTTTGATATGCCAATATAAATAACAGCATTATTTATCGGAAAACAAACATGTTTTTGCAAGTTTGCCTAATTTCATTTAAAACTATTATTTCATTACGTTTACCTTTTCTCTTTTGTGCGCTTTGAACATGCACCTTGTGGATGGATAAAGCGCTTAATAAATACTAATCTTGATTATTATTATTATTATTAAAACAAAATGAAAACACAGTCATAATGATATTTATTGTTACTTTATCAAAAAATATATTTGAATTTTGTATTTACCACAAGCTGTGATATAGGGAATATACGTGGTATATTTAATCAATTTAGACCCGATGCTTTAGCTCGACTTTGACAGAAAGCAGAATGACATAACTGCCACCGTCATCTGATCCAAGTGTCACTGAATCGTAGATGACATTAACACTAAAATAATCATTACCGCATTACAACCAAGTGAAAACCAATTTACTTGCAATAAAAGATATTTCTGACGCCATATTTGGCAGTAATGCTTGAAATTAACTACTTGTATTCAAGACTGAGAAAACGCCATGTTAACAATACGCCGAGCCTGTTATTTGGCTCTTGAACCCGAGGAACCATTCTTTATTGTATGTTTGAAACGTTCAAACGACGACCATAGTATCTGATTACGTTTCTGATCAGCCGATCGATACATATATCTTTAAAGTCACCAAGGCTTACTCAGCACCGATTCTGCGACGACCTTTTAGAGAGAACGCGGATAGTGGCCTTTTTTTCATATTCTTAGATTTTTTTGGTAAAAAATCGATAAAGACGACGTTGGCAGCGTTCAATATATAACCGTAGTCCTTGCCCTATTCGAAGATTTGACCCCGCTAAAGGGTTTACATTTTCTGACCTCACCGTGTAATCCTTCCAAATTACGTTCATATTACACAAACGCTGCATATTCGGCCGATTATTAAACCTTTGTCACCACTGTGTCCAGTCAATAATTATCTGTCAATCATTGACAAAGATACATGGAGAACCTCCGCTCATCCAATCAGAGCACGGCTGACGTCACAAGCCCACCCCTTTGCGGTACTCTAGTCTTTGTGGACGGTGGTGTGTAAAAATAGCATCGTAGCGTTTTCAATGGATGGCTCCACTGTGTGGTAGCGAGGTGTCTATGTTGTGTATAGGGGTGACTCGGAGGTGTTTTTGTTTGGTACATAGTACAGTTTTAGTGCACATTTGCTGAATTTCTCGCCGTGTGAGAGAAATCGCACCAGACCTAATTATGCATGGAGAACATATCGCCACACAGTCGGTGGTTCGTTCGATCGTGTGTCGGAAGCCGGTCGGTCTGAATGACAGTCCAGCGTCGGCATGAGCGTCGGAAAATATTCTGATTTTGGATTATAACAGGATTTCCGTCAGAAGTAAGTATTGTGACGTGTTAAGTATGGTTCAAACTGTGTTGGGGTGAATTTTGGTTGTGAAATATTCCGCCAAACGACGTACCCTCGCCATGTGGGTTACAACCCGTTATTGTGTTTACATATCGGTTCTCGCCATATTATGACAATATTATCCACCGGACGGGCAATATCAACGAGATTTGGTTGATGTGCTGCAAAATATGTCTAGTAACGACTCGTGTTGTTAAAATGCTGTTCGATAAGTGATATCTGCATATTGCGAGAGCTTGTGAGAGACTGATGGCTTGAGAGCTGTCCGTATTGATTTCCCTCATGAATGGCTGTCTATATTTCAGCCCGTGACCTGCGAGGAGTGAGGTCGACTAGCGCAAAGGGACAAGACTAGCCCAAGGTGGTCACGTTTCAGACGGGCCCGACCCCCCTCTCAACCACACCTCATGATCAGTGCGCGATGTGGGGTCTGAAGAGGAGCGCGCAGTGAGAACAAGCAGTGTGCGTATGGATGATTAGGGTCATCGAGAGCAGTGGAATGGTTTGTTACCAGGGAGATAGAATTGTGTCATCCTGGAGCTTAATGTAAGCCGTAACGAGTTATTGTTAACCGAGATGTTCAGTTTGAACAAGTGAAGTACCCGTGGAGTGGTGTTGTGTTATTATGCCTGATCTACGTTGTGTCGTCTGCTAGTCAGGCGGTTATAGACGAATTATGTCGTCTGCTTGCTGCAGTATCAACATGACACAGAGTCTTCTGCAAGGAAAGCGGTTCTTTTGCCGTGAGTGGGCCTTCTCCAAGGTGAACCATTGCGTGGAACATAGACCCTCATCTAAGACCTGTGGGGCTTTAATCATGGGAGGCCCCGGGTGTGGGAAAACTGCCCTATGTTGCGAGCTGGTGTGGCCTACTGTGGTTCAAGGCAAACAGGCGACGCTGAACAAACGCTTGCTTGCTTACCACTTTTGCCAAGCAAACGATATCGAGACCCTGTCTCTGGTCAATTTTATTCGCAATCTTGTCGACCAATTGTCAAAATCGGACTTACTAATAGGGTACAGAGAAAAGATCCAAGAACCATCTATACAAAGATTATTGGAGCCCTCGGAATGTGAACGGGATCCTGATGAGGCTTTCAAACAGGCGGTTCTGCAGCCACTGACCACAATTGACCCGCCGAAAAGCACGTTATTCATGATTGTAGATTCTATAGACGAGTCGTATTTGCAGACAATCAATGATAGAGTCAACTGTAGCAGAACCCTAGCTGAATTACTTGCAAATCACCACCCTTTATTCCCAGAATGGTTGCTCCTAGTGTGTTCCTCTCGTAAACAAAGCAAAACAGTAACTCGAATGTTCACAGGTTTCAGAAAAATTAGCCTGGACGATCTTAGAAAGTCTCACATTGTTCGTGATGTGCAACAGTACATTCTGTGTCGACTGGACCAAGAGGAAGCCCTCCGGCAACATTTGAGCAAGGAAACAGCTGAAATGTTAAACCAGCTTCACATTAAAAGTAATGGCTGTTTCCTGTACTTAGAGAAAGTTTTGGACGGAGTGGCAGAGAACTTTATAATGTTACGTGAAATTCGAGAGATCCCCGGCACACTTAACGGGTTGTATCTCTGGCTCAGCCAACGATTGTTTGTTCGGAAGCAATTTACTAAAATACAACCAATTTTAAACGCCATTTTGGCGTCCCGCCGGCCGATGACCGAGGATGAATTATTCTCATGTGCCCATGCTTGCTCGGGAAGTCTAAGCAGAGAGGAGTTTGTCAGACGACTGAGGCTCATGTCAAAGATCCTCATTGATGGGAAAGCGGGGACAAAGATACTTTTTCACCACAGCTTTGCCGAGTGGCTACTTGACGTAAAACACTGTACTCAGAAATATCTGTGCAATGCCAGTGAAGGCCATGGGATGCTTGCTATGCATGCCACTCGCAACGCGCCCAATCTTACACCGGCGGAAGTTCAGGACTTCGCTTTACATCTGGTGAGGACTAACTTTCAGGCTCCCATCCAACATTACCACATAGTGCAGTGGTTGCTCTTATCTGGGGCGAACGTCGAAGATAGCTTGTCTGTCGGCCTCCCTAAAGATCAGAAAGTTCTCAAACTTTTACTGGACGCTGGGGCGAAGATGCCCTCTAATGAGGTCCGCCCTAGTGGTATTACTGAGCAGTCGGGGAAGGATGAGTCCGAGTCGGTGAAAGACCTCCAAGATATTGATATTCCTCTTGACCAAGTGGACAGCAATGGCCGGACTCTGCTTCACACCGCTGCCCATCAGGGCAATCTGCAGGTGGTTAATTTACTCCTGACAAAAGGAGCCAGCATAGAAGCTATTGATAAGACAGGTCAGACTCCGCTTAATTTAGCGGCTAGGCAGGGATACGCCGAAGTTGTCGAGGTCCTGCTTAAGGCTAAAGCCGAGGTCGACCACGCCGACAACGACGGCTGGACGGCGTTGAGGTCTGCGGCCTGGGGTGGACACACCGCTGTGGTGGGAATTCTACTGAAGGCTGGAGCGAAGGTTGATCATGCTGACAGTGATCAGAGGACTGCCCTCAGGGCAGCCGCATGGGGTGGACACGAGGACATTGTTTTGAAATTGCTCGAACACGGCGCGAATGTAAACAAAGCTGACAACGAGGGCAGGACTGCTCTCATTGCAGCAGCGTACATGGGGCACGTGGAGATCGTGCAGCATCTTTTGGATTACCAAGCGGATATTAACCACGAGGACTGTGACGGTAGGACGGCGTTGTCAGTTGCAGCGTTGTGCATTCCTGCAAGCGAAGGACATGAGAAAGTTGTCAGTTCCCTGTTGGAAAGAGGGGCTGAGGTTGACCACCAGGATCATGACGGCATGACGCCGTTGGTCGTCGCCGCCTACGAGGGTCATAGCGACGTTTGTGAGCTTCTGTTGGAGTGGGATGCCGACGTTGACCACAGCGACCACAACAACCGGACAGCCTTATGGGCAGCGGCGTCTATGGGTCATGCCAAGGTGGTTGCTCAGCTGCTCTTCTGGGGTGCGGCTGTCGACCACATCGACGCCGAAGGACGTACCGTGTTGTGTGTGGCGGCGGCGCAAGGAAGTGTAGCCGTTGTCCAACAACTACTGGACAGAGGTCTGGATGAAATGCACCGGGACAACTCGGGATGGACACCGCTGCATATGGCTGCATATGAAGGACATACTGAGGTGAGTTTATTTTGATCAGTACGGTAGTCACATTTTCCATTGACTCATCTACATTTGAATTGTTACCTGTCACATGTGATAGCTGAATGACTCTCAGTATTCTTAATTTGTTTCAGTATTACATGCTTTTTTTAAATCGATGCTTCAATTATTGATGTTGAATGTTTGACGTGTGTTTTGATAACACTTCCGCCATTATCGTGGTAGGAGTGTCAGGCAGTCAGGGCTTTCAGCGGATTTTCACGTGTGACTGAAATCACTCGAACATCCAACAACGGCATCAGGGTTGTAATATTTTCAGATTTCTATGCCGCCTTTGTGCCTTAAAATATTTATCCGTGTTATTGACCCAAAGCCAACTAAAATGGCGGCTATGCATAATTAACCACAACGCAGAAACGTCTCTTGGATAGATTCATCTTTTGAACAAGGTCGATGGCCACCGTTTCAATGAAATACATGCATCTATGAGTATACAATATCATTCAGTAAAAGGCATTTAGAATTCGTGTAGTTGGTATTTGCACATAAACCAACACCCCCCACCCCCCACCCCAAACACTAAGACGAAATATCAACAGCACTGTCTGGACTATGTGCTTCCTATGTCGGTTTGCTTTAGCATATTTGCTTTTGCCTAAAGCTCACCTATCAAATCTATTTACCTTTATGCTTGAACTAATTGTAAAATACCCCTACGCTATAATTTACCAACAAATAGCATTGTATGCTATGTTTACATTCTATACGTCCAAACAATTCTTACGTTTTGGCCATTTGCCCTCATGGAATAACAATCAGAAAATTATATGGACGCTGAAAGCAGGTTATGTCGGTGTCAACAGCCTTTTGTTACATACATAATATGATGTTGAGTGTTATGGCAAGGTTTTCTAAGGTTTCTAGATAAGGGTTGATGAAATTACGGCTCCACGGTACTTGTTAGGACTTTCTGAAAACCATGAAGTTTTAAGGTTGGTTGGTTGGTTTGTTGTTTAACGCTGCACTCAACAATATTCCTGCCATATGGCAGTCTTTTAAGGGATATTATCGATTATTCCGATGGCGTTGTGGCCATCTTGATCTTGTTGATAAGGTTAGATAACTGGCTTTGGTTTGAATATATTACCTAATATTCGCCCAAAGCTATGTTTAGAGAAATGTCAACATGTTTTCAGCTGCATATTTGCTTTTGCAATGTCCGTTTTATGCATGAAACAGAACTTTGACATTTTATGGTTCGATATTGGTTGGGTTTTTTTGCCCTAAGGTAATAATTTCTTTTTAAAAGCTGCCAGCAATCCCGATCGATGTCAGTTTATGCCGACGGGGCATATTTCTTCACGCAGTGCATGATATATGAACTCATGCTAAACGTGTTTGTTTAAACCATTCATCAAACGACGCTTGAAATGTTACGAGCGTCCAATATGTCCACTTTTGTGATATCTGTAACACTGTCGTATATAATAATCAGCTCATCATTGGAAATACACTTTTCTACAACACTATTACATTTCTAGTTATCTCCAGTTATACAAACACCCTCACTAAGCAAGTATACTTAGGTATCACGTAACGCAGATCGGGTGTATAAGTTGATCGTTAACATTCAAAGGCATCGAGTGCATCTGAGGCCATTGCCCAGTAGCTTGTGTTTACAAGTCGGCAATACCTTTAACAACATGTGCGACTTTCGAACAAAAGTTGTCGGAGAATTATGTATAAGGGTTTCCGTTTGAGATATATATCACACTGTTTTTTGTGTCAGACACAACGCGTGTTGGCGATTGCATCTGTACTTGACCTGATTATGAAGTGGTTTTCAGGTCACTGGGTCAGAACGTCTACCTGTCCGATTAGGGCTTTGTTCGTTAAAGCTATACGTAAGCCTTTGGGATATAGAGTTAATGCAGATTCAGATTTAAGAAAGACATAAGTTATGTATTATGTCTGTTCAGTCGAAGAACGATATTAAAATTAAACCCTCCACACTCGGTGTGTTGGCACGAATATCGGTCATAAAAACATAATGGGGATTACGTTTTTAGAATTGGTCAGAGACACGTCTCGAATGGAATGAATTCTCTCTACTGTTAGTGTTAGCGTCAGTGCTGTTGTATATTTAATTATAATGTATGATTTCAGTCATTTTGACCTAAATTTTCCCGTTTTGCTATTCGTTCTTCACGAGAACAAGATTGCAACGTCGGTTATTCCCTGCTGGTGTTAGACCGTTAATGAGGCTTTCGTTCAATTTCACTAATGGACATTCAAGGTCGACCAAAGCTGGTACCAACCTGATGATTGACCTACCAATGTTCCACCAGCACTTAAGCATATTCAAATATTTAGCGCGTGCACATAATATGTAACGAAATGTCGCAAGTAATTCTCGTCATGAATTACCACATAATACCCATTCTCTAGTTATTACATGCGTAGATATAACGCGCATGTTGTTCTCCCGTTCCAGCTCCGCGGGTTAATAACATTTTTTGTGTGTTCACTCTTTCTTGTCTGTTCAATGTCAGAAATCGATTCCATGGTGGTCGCCATGGCAATACCTCGGACGTCTAAATTTTAGACACTCGTAAGTGACTGAAGAATAAGGGTAATTCGGAATCTGACAAACTAAACCTCGTGTTTTCTCAAGATACCGTCTTCTCCTTTCATCCCGGAAAGAACTTATGGCAGAACCAAATCAATTTAATCTCTGGCGAATCTATTTCAGGATGCATTTGGCATAAGGGTGTTCTATTTATTTACTGAAGCCCACTGTCTGTTATCGTTGAGGTCGTGTGTCTCTCTTTACGATAAGTATCTATAAGGATTCCAGACACCTGTCTTCTAGTGGTTGTGATTTACATTAGAAACTCACCTATTTCAATCCCAGAACACTAATACCTTACAGAAAGAGCATTAAAACAAGCTTGGAGCTTACCAATTCCGTGGCTGAACTATGACCTTTTGTTGTATTCATCATTAGGGTAATATCAAATAAAGAAATTGATAGACACATTAAATGTATGATGTTTTTCGTTTATCTTATACCTGAAATCTTTCATTGAAATTAATACTAAGGTCACAATTTACGAAAAATAGTAGTTATGCTAATCTTTCTCATCTATATATTTTGTATAAATTTAGAATGATTTAATGGATGTTACTCTCAATACTCTAAGTTTAAATTTAAAGAATATGTTGCCAGGTACAAAATGTAACTGAAAGACCTTGTTTTGATCAAAGGACTGTCAATTGTTAATATGGGGTGGAGGGGGTCATTTTCATGCCCTATCTTCTTTGAGTGGTATTTAGAAGTTGGTGCCATGATCAAGGGTAATACTTCTATGGATAGTGGTAGCTGTGGCATACACTGTACTAGATATACTACTCACACTTTGCTAAGGATCGCAACTTTACTTAAAGGTCAAATGCAACGTAAAACACAACTTTGCAGATTCTGATACCTTTCGGTATGGACGTACCGAAACAAATCATCAAAAATGCAAATTCAAGTTATAAAGAAAAATAACGCGATGAAAAAACCGCGCGAAATCGGAGTTCAAACGATTCACTAATTTCCCCCCCGAAAATTTTGGGGGAAAACGGGTTTCAACAGCTGGGCTGCGCTCATAGCATGTGCGCAGTGGAATAGGTTCGCGAACTTGGAAGCGGGCTGTCTGGTGAATACTCGGTGAAGGCTTTGGTGTGAGCTATTTTCCTAATGTTTTGTTGATATCTCACATGCGCGAGCTTTTTATATGTTATGACAGTAAATAAACTGTTTATATAATTTCATTTGTCTATTTCACCACACGTTCTTCTTAGCGAGTCACTTTCTCAGTTCGATACTTAAAGGTCACATGCAACCAAAAATCAACCATAATTAAAACACATGTCATTAATGTCATTATTTAGCGTTGACACAATTTCTAACTGTGATATAGATATGTCGTTGTCACAGACAAAACTCAATGTCTTGTTTTATTGACACCTGTGTGTCTGCCTGCCTGTCTGCTAATGACAATATTCAATACACAACTGCGATCACTGACCACATGCAATTTGAACTTAACACCAATCAGGCTATACACCATAAACAAAACGCATTGATTCATGGCCCGAGTTCGGTCTCTGTCACATTATGTAATTACACAGACAGGCAGGTGTGATACTTGAACACATGACATGTTATGATGTCTGTTGATTGCAAAATGTTATACACAAAAAATGAGCATTTATTTACAAAACCCAACATCTCTATATATACACACACAATGAGCCGTGAAGGCGGCACCTGCAAATGAACCAGCCGTTACACTTGAGTGCACACCCACCCGCTCTGACTGGGTTCGGTATCCCGGCTGCTTCGTTTCGAGGGAGGTAAACCCAAGTACAAAATATTGCACTTTTGATTTGTGATTATACCCTTATAATTTTGTTTATTTGTTTTTTCATAATCAGCAATGCATATTATATGTCATGAAGAAGTGATAATTGTGTTTTAATTATGTTAATGTTTGGTTGCATGTGACCTTTAACGTAGATTCATAATTTGAAATTGACTCTATTTAAAACTGGATAACTAATAATATGGTAACCCCTCTTTAGGCAAACAGTCACTTTCATCTAACCTTATGCACTTGATACATGAGTAACCATAAAATGGTTTTCATGGCACCAATCAACCATTTTGCATATCATGGAATGAGTCATTCACAAGTACACAACACCTGTCAATAGCAGGTATGGGATCCACAAGATGAAATGACACACTGAAACCTAGGATCAATGCTAACAATAAGCTTAGATACCTATTTATATCCAAGTTGACCACACATCATAGTTTTCTGTTGAATCCATGATTAGATCCTTAGCAAAGTGTGAATAGTATAGTTCTTTATCCATAGAACTATTGTCCTTGTTCATTTCAATGCCTTCCCTACCAACTTTCATTTCCCCCTTCCCCACCTTAACCCCCACCTAAACCCCATCTA